GGGGGGGGTGAAATTAGGCTGGACAGGGATGCTGGCATATCTCTTACCGTGTTGTTGCCAAATTCTGGCTGTCTTTTTTTCAATTCTGGCCTTTGATAGACGGGCAACTTGCAATTTTCTTTGTAACTAACTGATTGTGTTTGTACATTTAAAATAGAGTCGTACTCACAGCGGAATATATGCTCGAAAGTACACTTTTCCAGGCAAAAGCTAGATCGCTTCTCCACATGACACCCTCTTGAACTACTATCCAATCTGCAATGCGTAGCTTAACGAGACTCCCGGGCTCATAAAAACCACAACTTACTATAAAAACTATTCAAGGCCTTGTATCATTTCTTTCGATTCGTATCTCAGTCCAAGTACATGCTTGAACTGCAACCAACAAAGCACAGCTAATCGTCCACCAGGGGCATCAACAGCCTCGTCACAACAGCTCATCCCTACGCAAAGATCAATTCCAACCAGACAGGCATTACAAGGAAAGAGAAGAAAATCCCCGACTGCCCATCTCGCAGATGCCGAATCAAGAAGTCCGCCGAAACCTGCACATGAAGCGGAACCAAGGTATCCTTGGCGTCGGCGTAAAGCGCGGCAAGGCGTGGCCGGACCGGCCCGAGTACCTGGCCATTTCTCGCTGCACTAGAATACCAAGGACATTAGCGTGTTGATGGGCAGATATATCCTGCTGTACTTTGTAGACTGTTGGCTTTAAACCCGCAACGCCGGACTATGTATTCAGCCGCCGCAAGACAGTCTCAACGTTTCTGAATTGTCATCTCAAGATGGCTGCCCGGCGGAAAGGCTAGGACTAGACGGGTGAAGAAGGCCTTCATTACTCATCTTGCAAGTAGACTCCATGACAACTCCGATAATATTAAGAAAAGAGACCGCAATACAGAGTCTCCAAACAGTTCCTCCCATTCGTTATACATGAATTTTGCACGCAAGCAACTTGGTATAATACATGTACCCAACATGTCCAGACATCCTGTTTCTTCGGTCGCAGGATAATTCATTCCTTGATAGCTATCACGTCGCCATAAACCTGCCTCCCTCCTGCTTAAATAGCCAATCACTATTTGCGTCCACCATGAAATTCGTAATGTTGAACTCATTTGGCGCCATTTGAGCCTGCCCATTCTGTGCATCCATCGCAGTGTCCGGGCCCAGTGCCTGGGCACCGGCGAAATTCTCGCCGCCAAATGGCAGACGGGGGACATTGAAAAAGTCAAACACGTCCAGGTACTCCAAATCGTTTGGTGCCGGTGTTTTAGCCGGCGCGACAGCGGGCTGTCGTGCTGTCGTGTCAGAACTGTGTTTCGGCTGTCGAGACATCAAAACGTCGAGGTCGAATGCCGTTCGTCGCATGTCTGCTAGGATTTTGACAGAGCTAGGTGTGATACCATCACCCTTCTGCTCACTGTCACGGTGCTCATCAAGCACTCGTTGAAGCAGTCCGCAGTATCTCGCCGCCACCGGCCAGTATCGTCCCATTTCTCGCAGGGTGTCAACAAAGAAGCTGATTTGCGGAGCCAGTTTATGCTCAACTGTAGATCCATGAACAAGCAAAAGCCTTGCTGAGACCCATATCGTAAATGCAAATGGTGGCCCCAGCTTGCTGAGAAGGCCGTTCTGGACCACAAACTCTCCCAAAGCCGCAATATTCTCTACAGCCCCGTGACATCTTTGCGAAGCACTGTACGACGGAGTAAATATGGGCGATCGTGTTGTGGGGTATGCTGCTGACGAATGAAGTCGAATGACGGCAGTGTGATACGTGCCATGAAGCATCACCAGAATGCAATTCAAGTTCTTCTTGGGTGCTTGAAACAACTTGGACATGTTCCCAAACTCGGGGGGCAACCCAAACCTCCAGGTTGTCAGTAAGTTATCCAGCTCCTTGTAGCGCAGTTGCCATTGCTCGACGTCTCCCAAGGCACTGATGTCTACAGGCTGCTTGAGGAACTTGTGTATCTTGGACAAGATGCCCAAAATCTCGATATAGTAGGCAAAGGGCCCAAGATTTTCTGGCTTGCAAATCTCCTGCGCGGATCCCTCGCCGTGATGTTCTCTAGCCTTGAACCACTTCGTGTCTACTCTCTGATTTCGCATCCATAGGTCGTCACGGCAGGGCAGCGTTCGGTCGATTTCCTTGTCTGCCAACGCGAACTCGAAAGCAGTGGCGATGGTGGCGTATCTGTCAAGAAGATAAATCATCCAGAAGAGTCGTCGTCGTGATTCGTCGTCGATAAAGTCCTTGGGTTCCGGAAGAATCATAGCCCGCAGGGTGTATATCGACGTGTAGCCTGGCGAGACTGTGAATGAGTGGCTCTCAACCGCCAGTCCGAGCTGCACTACTGAGCGAGTGACGAGCGCCAAAATATTCCAACCAGGCGGACCATTGCTACTGCCGACCAGATCAAGTGCTACGATGACCAATGCCTGAAGCGATTTGACAGAGGTATTCTCCATGCCATATAGTAGCACACGTTCCTTGCACACTTTGTGGTAATGCTCCCGCCTTTCATCAGTGAGTCTAGGGTCTGTGGAGTAGCGCATCGTCGTGGCCACAATTGCATGTAGGAGTATTCTATCAGTCTCTTGCAGTGTCGACGGTCCAAACAGTGAGTCGAGAGTGGTTTTTCGGTGGAGTATTGGGCACCAAGTGTTGATGTGCTTGAAGTAGAGGTCGACAAGAGAATAGAGAAGGTCGTAGGGGGGCATGTCTTGATCCGGGGGAGTTGGTACCGCCGTTTGGCTCAGGGGGGCGGTCGGAGAGTGAATTGTAGGCTGGTTTTGATAGTAGGCCTGTCCTCCAGGCGTAGATGACTGAATTGGCGGTATCTGAGACCCTGCGGACAGGCGCCCCAGGGACCCTTGGTGGTGATATGTGTCAGGCATGCCTGGGTGTTGCGGTGCATTGAAGTCAACTGTTTGCGATGTCGGCGTAAAACTTGACGTCTTTGGGATGAACAAACTATTCTCTCCTCCTGGTGTAGTAATGGGTTCGGATGTTCTGTACATGTGAGATGAAGCATCCCTTGGCGTGCCGTGGTCACTTGGTATGCTGGGGTTGCTGTTTTGGATGCCACCAGTAGCATTGAGCTGTGGATTTGAAGCCAAGACGTGTTGAATAATCTCCGAGTGAGACTGCAAGACGGCTTCAAGCTTATCCATTCGATCTTGGAGCTCCTTACCAAAGCCAGCCCTTAGACCAGGCCGCCTCCGCTCCTTGTATTCGCATATTGCGCCATTTCGAGCGCACCATCCGCAAGACGGCTGTCCCCGGTCGCATTTTACCTGTTAAATTCCAGGGTCAATACATGTCTAAGGGCAGGATACGACGCAGCTTGCGGGGGAACAAAAATCACACGGCGTGATGATTTGTAGCTTTTGTTGATCCTTCCGAGTCAACGAACAGGGTCGGGCGCGTCTTGTGCGTCTTACTTTTCGCTGTTTGCATAGCTCACACCTTGGTATAACGAGGTCAGTTTTCGATTCCAGGGGCTGCTCATAGAGAGAGACAGGCATGTGAGGACATCAAGGCAAACAAGATGGCGATGGCAAAACGTTGTACTCGGTAGTGCAAGACACAATACAGACGTGAAAAGCAAGTGGCGAATCGGATGTGGAATGATGAGCCGACTCAACGGGGGGCCAAGGGGACAGCATGGACATGGCATAAAAAAAAGCAAAGATAGCCAAAGAAAGACCAAGATTGTACATACGAAACTGAGGTCGGGCGCTTGCGCTTCCCATTTTGGGTAGAGCCGTCGTTGTATTGCTCATCATCACTATGAGAGTCGCTGTCGGGCTCGGTTGGTTGATGTGGTATGACGGAGGTGGGACCAGAAGCCGGAACTGATGATGGTGATGGTCCCTTGGCGCCGACAGCTCCGTGCTGCATCATGCTTTCTCGGCCAGCCGGGAAGGGCCCCTGGTGAGTCGATTCCGTGAAACACAATACCGGTCCTAGGGTCTGGTGTCCAGTCTACCGAGTATCGGGCCAAGATGACTGCACGGGTTGTTGTTAAAGCGAGGCAGTGGGGAGCGAGATGTCAGAGTGAAACATTCGGGACAAAGGTGAGCGACAGGAGGAGGTGGTTTTGCATTATGCCGGCACTGAGGATTCTGCATTGGTCGAGACAGACTAGCTGTGCCATCTGTGGATCATCAGCTGCGAGCGAGGACAGGGTGGGTAAAGTGGCAGGCGAACCGGCGCAGAGTCACGAGATTCCAATGGCGGCGTCTGAGTCCTCGAGTAGGGATGGCAGACGAAGACTAGTCGACTTTGTGTAGTCGGGCGAGGTGGAGGGGAAACCAGCCACAAGTAAGGTCTCGATAGGGTTTGATGGTGCCATGCTGCCGCAATCAAATTGATGGAGCATCTGGTGGGGAGACGGTGGAAAACAGGGCCCAGGAGCTTGTCCAAATCAGACCAGACATGAAGCACGGCAGAGCCTCGGCTATTCAATAACTGACAAGTGCCAGCAAGTAGAAGGAGCTACCCTGAGTCGCGGCAACCCTGGACGCGGCAACCCTAGACGTGGACGTGGCAGCATTTGTTGACATGGATGCATGTACATACATACATCCCGGTTTTTTCGGCAGATTGAGACACAATTTCATGATTGCTAGCGTACATCCGTTGTTATAACGGCGACCCTGACACCTCAAAAAGGACGTTCAAGGGTCCAAGGTCCAGTCAGCTTTGTGAACTGGGGACTGTGTCAACAACGAAACCTGACTGCATGACAACTGTCTTGGTTAAACTTGGTCATAATCCCCCCATCAATAGTCATCATATATTGCGACTATTCTCTAGACCATGGCCACAGAGCTGTTGCCTCGGGCGGCTCGGCTTCTGGGAATAAACTGGCTCTGGCAATTATGGAGAATAGAAATAACTTTAAAAAAGTGAGAAA